CTCTGATCCCCTGTTGTAACCATTTTCCCAAGCATCTCCATGCGGTCAGACCTTTGATTATTTTGTGCCACCTGGGCCACAATGATAAACCCCCTCTCTGATTGTCCGAGTGTGACCCCCTCCCCATGGGTTACTGCAGCCAGTGTTGCCAGCACTGCCACTACCTGGGTGGGCGTACCCCACCGGAATCCCCACCGGCTAGGTAAAAGGTCGTCAAGGTTCTCATTAGCAGCTTTGAGAATTTCCTTGTATATTATGTTCTCCCATCAGGGGGCTCTGGCTTTGTAGGACCAACCCTGCCAGGCAGGCTCAGAATCTTGAGGGGGCGGTGCTGCTCAAGTAGGTCTCTGACCGCATTTATTTCTCTGTTTAGGCTGCATATTCACAGCAGGTCCATAAAATAGATGGGAACTTCTCTTTGGTGTATGGGTCGCTCAGGTGGGTGTCCAGGTTATAGGGTTAGGGATCTTTCCATCATGATAGGACAATGAATAATTAGATTAGATGTATACTATATTTAAAAATGTATATCCCTCATCTACACAAAATTGAAAGCTCTCTCTCTCACTACCCCTGCTCATAGACCCCCGGTCGGCTCTGGGATATGCAACCATTTCCCCTCTCACTCACTTAACGCCGCACCTTTTCAAACACAAAAATGCACACCACATGGTTGACTGCGGAAGAAATGGGCCGAGCGTGCAAACGCACCCGCATCCACATCTGCCGCAAGGGGGAAAGGACGCCAGAGAGAACACAGGACCAACCACAACAACCATCCGCCAAAACAACAACCTCCCGCCAAAAAAGCCATGTTCTAATTATTTGTATTTAAAGATGTATTATTCTGCTTGTTATATCGTTTTATCCATTTATAAAATACTATACTTACTATAAATGTTATTTAATATTACAATCCCTATCATTGCTAGTATCAGGTGCTCCAATATTTGACTCCTCTATTACAACTTTTAGAATAGCCATGGAGTAGTCTTTGTGTCTCTGAACATTTGGTTGTCAATATATAATTTATCCACCACTAGTGCAACACGTTTCCCTTTTAATCTGTTTTCCTTGAAGATTGGATACAGAACTTTGCGCCTTTCTACAATCTCCTTCGGGAACTGATCATTCATGCCTATTTTCGTGCCAGCAAGTCTTTTTCCGAGGCTTTTCACCATAGCTTTATCCTTAAAAAAAGCAAATTTGGCAACGATTGGGCGCTCATATTTCTGTCCTCTTTTTCCGAAACGATGTACACGTTCGAGTTGGATTTTATCGACAGCCTCGAGTGGGATTTGTAGCGCTGTATGCAGGAAGTCCTTCATCATATTCTCTGTTATTTCTCCCTCCTTTTCCTGAATACCCGTAAGTACTAGATTTTCCCTCATCGATCTAGTTTGGATGTCTAGTAAGGCTTCTCTCAGAAGATTGTTCTCCTTTTTTAGTTCCCTAACGTCCGTTTCCATTTTAGAGACTGTCACTTTTATTTCTTTGGTTTCTTTCTCCATTACCAAAGCTTTTTCGTCACTCATTTGAAGACTCGCTTTCAACTCTTTTACGTCTTTACTGACCAATTCTAGTATGCCCAATTTGTCATTTATCGACTTCAACAGGTCGCTTTCCACACTTACCATACCCAGTGGTGAAAAGCATATATCATCTGTATCAGTCGATGAGTCGCGTTTCCTTTTGGGGATCGGCTCTCCACGCTTGTCTTCAGTCATGTTTGGGTGTTGCTTGTTGTAGTAATATTTGTCGATATATTTCTCTAGCCTTATGATCTTATTTCTGTTATTATCCAAATTGAATTATATTAACTGCGAATATATGAAATGCTAATATTTAGTCTAACTTACTGATTTTGAATATTATGTTTTTATCTTGAGGTGTTTTGTACCGATTTCTATTCAATACGCCATCTTGTCTACGCGTGCCCCGCCCCCTCTCAACAACAACCTCTCCCTCAACGTGATCAAGACACTCTGTAGGATTAAGGCCCTGTTGCCTGGTAACCAAAAGGTTAAAGAGGTTGCATCCTGTCCAGTTGACTCCCACCTCTGTGCGTCCTTATCGCAGGTCAAATTAAATATTAAGTGATATGACTGTATAACAGCTTGGAGAGATCAAACACCGCAGCATAGCACAGTACAGCAAGTATGGTTAGAACAACAATAACAGGAAGTGTTTCTCACCCAGGCAGTCTTCCTACTTGGTTTTACATCATATGAAGAGGGGTTAACTGGTGGTTATTATTCATATCATATGAATGACCTGCTGGAGTGTTGCACACTGTTCTTAAGCTAGACCCTTTGTGGTCAGATGTTAACTGAAAGAAACCCGGCTAAGCTATGTGTGTTTGAGTATGGAGGAGAGGCAGTGACTACTCTTGTGCTCACTTGGAACACCAATCCAATATTTCTTCACTTTAGCTTGGGACTGGAATTGTGAGCAGGAATTCCCAGGAAACAATGGCTCAATGTCAAAGCACTTCTTGCTGGCAAATGTGGCACTTGACATAATTTCAATTATTATTATTGATGTTAATAGTCCTTTGTTTATTGGTGTGTTCCTCAGAAATGGCATGTTCATGGTTGAGTCATTCTATTAAATATTTGACCCTGACAGTATGTTTATGTAGGCTATAGGGAAAGAAGTGACGGGTGCTCAACCAACGTGAGTCGAGGTGCAACCCAAAAATGTAATCATCATTGAAAAGGAAAAGGCGCGACACTCGCTCACCATTAAATATTCATTGTTTAATTTAAGCAAGGTTAAAGTGGTTCTGATAAAGGCCATTGAGGGCTGAAATGTTAATATTTTAACCTTGCTTAAATAAAACAATACATTTTTAATGGTGAACGAGCGTTGCACATTTTCTATGTAGGCTATAGGCCCAGTCGGTATCACAGTGCATAGGCAAGTGTTGATGATCTGCTTGTTGTTGTGGTTGGTTTCTTAATTCTTATCTACATTGTTGGGAAAGGGCTCGTAAGTAAGCATTTACGGTAAAGTCTATACTTGTTGTATTCGGCGCATGTGACAAATAAAAATGTATTTCGATTTTACTTGTTTTATTTGATTTGATTTAGGGATGGGACAAAAATAACAATAGAGGAGAAGGAAAGGGAGAAGTTGGAGAGGGACAATATCTTCACAACTGCAGTTGCTGTGGTCCTCTGTAGCTCAATTGGTAGAGCATGGCGCTTGTAACGCCAGGGTAGTGGGTTCGATCCCCGGGACCACCCATACGTAAAAATTTATGCACACATGACTGTAAGTCGCTTGGGATAAAAGCGTCTGCTAAATGGCATATTATTATTATTATTATTATTATTATTATTATTATTATTATTATTATTATTACTGTAGAGAGATAAAGAGACCTGTTGACTGCTGAAAGCACAGCATGATCCCTTTCCTTTCCTCTCTCACACTTTTGCTCTCTCTCCTTCCCTCACTCCCTGGCTTTCTCTTTCTCACTCCTTTCCCCTCACAGTTGCTCTTCTCCTCCCCCGATACTTTCCTCCTCCCCTCCCTCATCCTGATCTTAGCATCTCACTATGTCAGGCAACAGAGCTCCACACCAGATAAATTACTATGTCAGGCAACAGAGCTCCACACCAGATAAATCACTATGTCAGGCAACAGAGCTCCACACCAGATAAATCACTATGTCAGGCAACAGAGCTCCACACCAGATAAATCACTATGTCAGGCAACAGAGCTCCACACCAGATAAATCACTATGTCAGGCAACAGAGCTCCACACCAGATAAATCACTATGTCAGGCAACAGAGCTCCACACCAGATAAATCACTATGTCAGGCAACAGAGCTCCACACCAGATAAATCACTATGTCAGGCAACAGAGCTCCACACCAGATACAAATCACTATGTCAGGCAACAGAGCAGATAAATCACTATGTCAGGCAACAGAGCTCCACACCAGATAATCACTATGTCAGGCAACAGAGCTCCACACCAGATAAATCACTATGTCAGGCAACAGAGCTCCACACCAGATAAATCACTATGTCAGGCAACAGAGCTCCACACCAGATAAATCACTATGTCAGGCAACAGAGCTCCACACCAGATAAATCACTATGTCAGGCAACAGAGCTCCACACCAGATAAATCACTATGTCAGGCAACAGAGCTCCACACCAGATAAATCACTATGTCAGGCAACAGAGCTCCACACCAGATAAATCACTATGTCAGGCAACAGAGCTCCACACCAGATAAATCACTATGTCAGGCAACAGAGCTCCACACCAGATAAATCACTATGTCAGGCAACAGAGCTCCACACCAGATAAATCACTATGTCAGGCAACAGAGCTCCACACCAGATAAATCACTATGTCAGGCAACAGAGCTCCACACCAGATAAATCACTATGTCAGGCAACAGAGCTCCACACCAGATAAATCACTATGTCAGGCAACAGAGCTCCACGCCAGATAAATCACTATGTCAGGCAACAGAGCTCCACGCCAGATAAATCACTATGTCAGGCAACAGAGCTCCACACCAGATAAATCACTATGTCAGGCAACAGAGCTCCACACCAGATAAATCACTATGTCAGGCAACAGAGCTCCACACCAGATAAATCACTATGTCAGGCAACAGAGCTCCACACCAGATAAATCACTATGTCAGGCAACAGAGCTCCACACCAGATAAATCACTATGTCAGGCAACAGAGCTCCACACCAGATAAATCACTATGTCAGGCAACAGAGCTCCACACCAGATAAATCACTATGGCTCCCTCTGTCTTCTCTCAGGTAGGACTTACTCAAGGTTAACTGATTAGTGTGTCTGTCCATGCTCCCCCCCCCCCCCGCCGCCTGTGAGGGATCATTAATAAGGACTAGGAGACATCTACCTCAGTTATATAGAGGTGCTAACGCATCATCACCTGTCTTATCATAAGGAATGTATAGGTCAATGTAAAGTTAATGTCCCTCTGCTCTGTGCTTTTCTAGGCTGCCGAGTCGGGGATAGTCAAGATCAAGACCATCGCCGCGAGGAATACAGACATCTTGGCAAGTGAGTGATTGAGGGAAGGGACACTCTTATGACTTGTGTGTTTGTGAGATGTTTTGGCTGAACCAATATCCAATCACATACAGATCAGTGATTAGACCTCATTAAAACAAGCAAAGGAAAGGAGGATGCATTATAACAGAGTAGTCCTAGATGTGTTTGTTTTAGAACAGCTGTCTGATTGATGTATTAACTGCATGCCCATGTATCGTCTCCTCCTTAGCTTTGAAGGAGAACAGCTCGGAGGTGGTGCAGCCGTTCCTGATGGGCTGTGGCACCAAGGAGCCCAAGATCACCCAGCTGTGTCTGGCTGCTATCCAGAGACTCATGTCCCACGAGGTGGTGTCTGAGGTGAGGAACACAGGACCACTAAGGGTCAAATCCTAGCTTCCCAATTTTCACTTAGCCATGCATTGATGTCAGTGGGAGACTAAGTGGATGTTTTAGATTCACCATTAACTCTTTATAATCACTTTGATTAATAATCCATTACCAATGCATATAATGCATGTACTGTGTTGATTTAGAAGGCTGATATAATTATTTAGGAGGGAAATGGTCCTAGCTTATATCAACCCTGCTGTGGGGCTAGTACAAAACAACCTGTACCAAAAGTCTACACAATTGTTAGTCGTGGTGTAGATCAAGGCCCTTTAAACGCTATACCTCAACATGGAACCCAGGCTATTCTGACTGACCCTCCCCGACCGTGGCCATGGCCTTGATCTGCCTGGTGTTAGCAGGGACACCTTGACTGACCACTGACCAGCTAGCCAGCCAGGCCTAGTGTGTGAATAACAACACCCTGGCTAACTGGCTCCCTGCCTGCCTGACTGTGTACACCCTGCCTAGCTGGTTGGCTGGTTGTGTTTACGTGCTATCAGCAGACTTCCTGCTTGTAGCCTTTCAACAGAGGCTTTCTGCCACGCTCCAGCGCCTCCCCTCTATCTCTGTCTGTCTGTGTGTCTGTAAGCCCAGGGCTTAACTACTGGGACAGGGATGGGGAATAGGAACGAAGCTACTACGATATTGATTAAATGTGATGTTTTATGTGAGAGTGTCGGTTTTGCCTTCTGAAGGACAGGTTTTTTTCTTCAAATGACTCAACTTCCCCCAGTTTCACTGATTTATACAAGTTCTGGTGAGTTGTTCTGACCTCAGGAAGTGACACAAGGACAATGGCGCAATCCCAATACCCCCCACTTTAGCCCTCCCCCTCATTTTCGAGTGTCCTTCGGTGGGGGAGTGGCACTCAAACGGAGCAACTAGTGGTAGGGAGAGATGAATAACCCTAGGGAATGGGACATCACTCACATACATCAGAAGCTGCCAAAGGATAGCCTACCACGCAATTCATTGACGTCGAGCCTTGTGTTTTTCACAATGCCTGTACTGGCGGCAGTAATAGCTTTCCTTATATTTCTCATGCAACAAATATGTACAGTACTTACCATATGAGCAACAAAGGATAACAGCAAAACAACAATGTGCCCATAATGTACCCATCCTCTGGCTGTGGGTCAATGTGGAGTACTACTGAAGTCAGGACTTTCATTCCATAATAGCAGTTTGACATGTAACAGTCACATTTTCTTAATTTCTTCAATTTTGGGGGGATTAATGATTAACCTGTGGAAGCATTGTTGAAAAATTTAAACCACTGTTCTGAACTAATATTTAATTAGAGGGGGGGATTTCTAGCTGCACAACATTTTAAACAACGATCTCATGGAACTATATTTAGTCCTTCAAATACTTGTATTAATTTTAACACAGAAATTGATAATAACCCTACAGTTTTCTTAATCTGAGCCAATCTAGCCCATGCTGTTGAATGCACTTTCTGGCCATGGGCATGGTTGTTTATGCCGTGGTTACACTGTATCACTGATCAAACGCTCTTATAAAAGGTCAGCGGTAAAGACACGAGAGGAAATTAGTTTGGTACAGGGATAGACTGAATTTTGACATGCAAATCTGATTGGATACAGTGTTTTGATTATAAAAATATCAGCCTCAATTTAACATGTTGCTTTTTTATTTTTAAGGGCTAATCGGGGACATTTCCGGCAACAGCTGTAGTCAGAGACAGGCCACCAAAATCTGCCACCTATTTTATCCTCCCCTACACAATAAGCAAGAAAATAGTTAGTTAGTGCCTTCAGAAAATATTCACACCCCTTGACTTTTTCCAAATGTTGTTGTTACAGCCTGAATTTTAAAATGGATTAAATTTAAATGGTATGTCACTGGCCTACACACAATACCCCATAATATCAAAGTGGAATTATGTTTGTATAATTGTATTGTAATTAAAAATGAAAATATGAAATGTCTTGAGTCAGTAAGTATTCAACCCCATTGTTATGGCAAGCCTAAATACATTCAGGAGTAAAAATATGCTTAACAAGTCACATAGTAAGTTGCCTGGACTCACTCAGTGTGCGATAATGGTGTAGAACATGTTTTTTGAATAACTACCTCATCTCTGTACCCCACACATACAATTATCTGTATGGTCCCTCAGTCGAGCAGTGAATTTCAAACACAGATTCAACCACATAGACCAGGGAGGTTTTTCAATGCCTCGCAAAGAAGGGCACCTATTGGTAGATGGGTAAAATAAAACACTCTTTGAATATCCCTTTGAGCATGGTGAAGTTATTAATTACACTTTGAATGGTGTATCAATACACCCAGTCACTACAAAGATACAGGTGTCCTTCCTAACTCACTTGCCGGAGAGGAAGGAAACCGCTAGGGGATTTCACCATGAGGGCAATGGTGACTTTAAAACAGTTACAAAGTTTAATGTCTGTAATAGGAGAATTCAGGATGGATCAACAACATTGTAGTTACTCTACAAAATTAACCTAAATGATAGAATGAAAAGAAGGAAACCTGTACAGAATATAAATATTCCAAAACATGCATCCTGTTTGTAATAAGGCACTAAAGAAAAATTGACTTTATGTCCTGAATACAAAGCGTTATGTTTGGGGCAAATCCAACACAACACATCACTGAGTACCACTCTTCATATTTTCAAGCATGGTGGTGGCTGCATCATGTTATGGGTATGCTTGTCATCGGCAAGGACTAGGGAGTTTTTGGGGATAAAAATAATTTGAATAAAGCTAAGCACTGGCAAAATCCTAGAGGAAAACCTGGTTGTCTGCTATTCAACAGACACTGGGAGAAATTTTCACCTCAGCAAGACAATAATCTAAAACACAAGCCCATATATACACTGGAATTGCTTACCTGAGTGGCCTAGTTACAGTTTTGACTTAAATCGGCTTGAAAATCTATGGCAGTCTAGCAATGATTAACAACCAACTTGACAAAGCTTGAAGAATTTTTAAAAGAATAATGTGCAAATAATGTACAATCCAGGTGTGCAAAGCTCTTAGAGACTTACCCAGAAAGACTCACAGCTGCCAAAGGGGATTCTAACATGTATTGACTCAGGTGGTGTGAATATGTAAATGAGATATTTCTGTATTACATTTTCAATAAATTAGCAAAGATTTCTAAACTTGTTTTCACATTGTCATTATGGGGTATTGTGAGTAGATGGGTGAAGAAAAAAAATCCATTATCCATTTTGAATTCAGGCTGTAACACAACAAAATGTGGAATAAGTCAAGGGGTATGAATACTTTCTGGAGGCACTGTATCTTGAATCTCTAACGTTTCTACAATAAAGAACAATGGCAAGGGATTGACGTGTCTGAAAAGGCACTATGCCTCGCTCAAAGTTGAATTGGGAAACCACACTCATCACTAGTTAACACAGCCGCAAAGTAATAAACCCCGCCTATTTCTACAATTTATGTTCTTAAAATCAGATTTTAAACCAAAACTTAACCCTAGCCACACTGATAACCTTATGTCAAACCCTAACCTTAAATTATGATCATTTTCATGAATTTTTACGATATAGCCAATTTGGACTTTGTAGCTGTGTTATCTAGTAGAAACCGGACACCACTCTGACTCAATGTGACTCGCAGGATCGCGCAAAAAAGAAGGGGGAGGGTTAAGGGGGGGGTTTGGTATTGAGCCAATGTAATTGGAGTGCCACAGTGGCTGGGTTTGGCTGAAAGAAGGCCAGTGTGACTCCCTGACCCTGATGTGCTGTGGGCTGGTCCGGTCGGCTGCTCCCCTGTGTGTCTGTGTTAATCTGTGTGTACATGTCTGTGTCTATGACCTCTAGTGCTGCTCTCACTTCCTCTGTTCTGTCACATTCCTGTATATTGTGACTGTTGCTGCCTCCTGGGTGTACAAGTAGGCTACAAGTCTAACTGAATGTATGTGTGTATGTGTGTGTTCATCAGGCTGCAGCAGGGAACATCATTAACATGCTGTGGCAGTTGATGGAGAACGGGCTGGAGGAACTGAAGCTGCTGCAGACTGTGTTAGTTCTGCTCACCACCAACACCGTGGTACATGACGAAGTCCTGTCCAAGGTACCGTACACTCAGCACACACATTGCAGACACTTCATATATTCACAGGACAGTACAGTCACACACGTCTCATATTTGCCATGGGAGTCATGTACTATTTTCCACATCAACGTGAATCCAGATGTGTGCCTTAGTAAATCTGGCTACGTTCCAATGTCCATACTAGCATACCACTTAGAATGTATTCCCCAGTACATGGCTTGATTCTTGGTGGTAGGCTATGTTAGGCTGGATATTGTAACAGAGTCTCCTCGCCGCCTCCCTCCCTCCCAGGCCATCGTGCTGTGTTTCCGCCTGCACTTCACCAAGGACAACATCACCAACAACACGGCCGCCGCCACCGTCAGACAGGTCGTCACCGTGGTATTCGAGAGGATGGTCGCGGAGGACGAGCGCTTCAAAGGTCAGGGCAGAGCAGAGCACTCATGGGAAATGGAGTTCCCGGACCGTTTTCTTTTGTCCAATGATTTAGAGTTAAGTCATTGTTAGATCCATGAAGGGAAGACTGCAAGTGTACACTTTGGATGAAAGGTGGACGATGCAGCCACAGAACTGTACATCAGTATTCTAACATCCCATTTCCTCCCTCCTACCATTCCCCTCTCCTCTAACTTTGACCATGCCACAGAGGAAGGGAAGGGAGTTCGTTTCTCCTTAGATTGTCTAAAGCAGCTTATCCCATGACTTCAATGAATACATGATGGTTTTGGTTCGGCCCCTTGAGTTTTCACACTGCTCTCTTTCCACTCTACGTCTTGGTTTAGTATCACTGGGATTGGAAATCACAATTTAATTGATGGACTCTTCCCTCTTGAGGTAGGAGTTGGACTGGTCTTTTCTGAGAGTGTGTGTGTGTGTGTCGTTGTTTGATGAGCGATTGATCCCTCCAGGCTTGTAGCCACAGCTGTTTCTGATGTTTTCTCTCCCCCTCCCTCTCTCCTCAACCCCCTTTTCACCTCTCTCTTCCCCCTCTCCTCCTTCCCTCTTTCCTCCTCTCTTCCTCCTCTCCTCCCTCCCTCTCTCCTCCTCTCTTCCCCCTCTCCTCCCTCCCTCTCTCCTCCTCTCTTCCCCCTCTCCTCCCTCCCTCTCTCCTCCTCTCTTCCCCCTCTCCTCCCTCCTCCTCTCTTCCTCCTCTCCTCCCTCCCTCCCTCCCTCTCTCCTCCTCTCCTCCTCTCCTCCAGACATCGTGGAGCAGCCTCCTCCAGTCCAGGGTAACACTAACCGGAGGTCTGTCAGCACCCTGAGGCCCAGTGCGAAAGACGCCTACATGCTGTTCCAGGTACGCCACCAGGAGGAGACAGTCCTCCATACCTCTCACAGTACCCAACATTCACACTCGCTTCCATCAGAAGAGGCAGTGTAGCTAGGGTAGAGTTAAAGAGGTATGGAAGACTGAGGTAAGGGAGGGAACGAGGGAAGGGTAAGGGAAGGAGGGCAGGGGGAGGGAACGAGGGAAGGAGGGCAGGGGGAGGGAACGAGGGAAGGGAGGGAAGGGTTTTGTGGAATGAAACAGCGATGCTGTCATTAGATATGTACAGCCCAGACTTCCAGACTGTATCACAGAGGCAATGCTAGTAGCTGTCTCCAGCTGTCCTATGTGTATGTCTACATCCCCATTTTCGTGTGTGTGTCCCTCCAGGATCTATGTCAGCTAGTGAATGCTGACGCCCCCTACTGGCTGGTAGGGATGACAGAGATGACGCGGACGTTTGGTCTGGAGCTCCTGGAGTCGGTCCTCAATGACTTCCCTGGGGTCTTCCTGCAGGTGAACACACAGTACAGTAAAATACAAAACAGTACAGTATTATACTTTACAATGCAATACAACTTAATACAATATGGTGAAGTAAAGTATGGTACAAAACAATGCAATACAATACAATCAAGTATTATGTGCATTGAAATGGAATACAATATATATATATAGAATACATGTCATCTCACTGTAGGTATGTCTTGTATTTGTACTGTGACCCCCACCTCTGCGGACCCCACCTGTTGCCCTCTAACCTCTGACCTCCGTGTAGCACCAGGAGTTCAGCTTCCTGCTGAAGGAGCGTGTGTGTCCGCTGGTCATCAAGCTGTTCTCCCCCAACATCAAGTTCCGTCAGGGCAACAGCAGTGCCGCCTCCCCAGCCCCTGTAGAAAAACCCTACTTCCCCATCTGCATGAGGCTGCTCAGAGTGGTGTCTGTGCTCATCAAACACTTCTACAGCCTACTGGTGAGTCTCTGTGGTTATCAAACACTTATACAGCCTACTTGTGTGTCTCTGTGGTTATAAAAAACACTTCTACAGCCAACTGGTGAGTCCCTGGGGTTATCAAACACTTCTACAGCCAACTGGTGAGTCCCTGGGGTTATCAAACACTTCTACAGCCAATTGGTGAGTCCCTGGGTTATCAAACACTTCTACAGCCAACTGGTGAGTCCCTGGGGTTATCAAGCACTTATACAGCCTACTGGTGAGTCCCTGGGGTTATCAAGCACTTCTACAGCCAACTGGTGAGTCCCTGGGGTTATCAAACACTTCTACAGCCAACTGGTGAGTCCCTGGGTTATCAAACACTTCTACAGCCAACTGGTGAGTCCCTGGGGTTATCAAGCACTTCTACAGCCAACTGGTGAGTCCCTGGGGTTATCAAGCACTTCTACAGCCAACTGGTGAGTCCCTGGGGTTATCAAACACTTCTACAGCCACCTGGTGAGTCCCTGGGGTTATCAAACACTTCTACAGCCAACTGGTGAGTCCCTAGGGTTATCAAGCACTTCTACAGCCAACTGGTGAGAGTCAGTTACAGTTATCTACTACCAAGTACTGTGTTCTCTGTACCTAAATCATCAAACACAACTACAGTCTAGTAGTGAGAGCCAAGGCAGGAACTATAGTTAGGGTCAAGTCCATTTGAATTCAGGAAGTAAGCTGAAATTCCAATTCCAATTTTCCACAAATCCTGTTGTCTTATTGTAGAGCCAGAAATGTGTGGATAGTTAGCTTGGGGAGCTGAGGATTGAGGTGTGTGTTTGTCTGTGTTGCTGTAGGTGACAGAGTGTGAGATCTTCCTGTCTCTGCTGGTGAAGTTCTTGGATGGAGAGAAGCCTCAGTGGCTCAGAGCTGTTGCCGTGGAGTCAGTCCACAGGCTGTGTGTACAGCCACACCTGCTACGGTGAGGAGGAGCGCACACACATACACCCTCAATACACACACACACACACACACTCCACTGACCTTACCGTACACCTTTGATACTAACCTTACCGCACACATACACACACCCTCATCACTAAACTTACCACTTAACTTCCATTTCACACAAGTGTATAATATATGCTTGTACATGTGTGAAACAGGACAGATATACAGTGAGGGAAAAAAAGTATTTGATCCCCTGCTGATTTTGTACGTTTGCCCACTGACAAAGAAATGATCAGTCTATAATTTTAATGGTAGGTTTATTTGAACAGTGAGAGACAGAATAACAACAACAAAAAATCCAGAAAAACGCATGTCAAAAATTTTATAAATTGATTTGCATTTTAATGAGGGAAATTATGTTTTGCAGAGGGGTCAAATACTGACTTAGTACTTGGTGGCAAAACCCTTGTTGGCACTCACAGAGGTCAGACGTTTCTTGTAGTTGGCCACCAGGTTTGCACACATCTCAGGAGGGATTTTGTCCCACTCCTCTTTGCAGATCTTCTCCAAGTCATTAAGGTTTCGAGGCTGACGTTTGGCAACTCGAACCTTCAGCTCCCTCCACAGATTTTCTATGGGATTAGGGTCTGGAGACTGGCTAGGCCACTCCAGGACCTTAATGTGCTTCTTCTTGAGCCACTCCTTTGTTGCCTTGGCCGTGTGTTTTGGGTCATTGTCATGCTGGAATACCCATCAACGACCCATTTTCCATGCCCTGGTTGAAGGAAGGAGGTTCTCACCCAAGATTTGACGGTACATGGCCCCCGTCCATCGTCCCTTTGATGCGGTGAAGTTGTCCTGTCCCCTTAGCAGAAAAACACCCCCAAAGCATAATGTTTCCACCTCCATGTGGGATGGTGTTCTTGGGGTCATAGGCAGCATTCCTCCTCCTCCAAACACGGCAAGTTGAGTTGATGCCAAAGAGCTCCGTTTTGGTCTCATCTGACCACAACACTTTCACCCAGTTCTCCTCTGAATCATTCAGATGTTCATTGGCAAACTTCAGATGGGCATGTATATGTGCTTTCTTGAGCAGGGGGACCTTGCGGGCGCTGCAGGATTTCAGTCCTTCACGGCGTAGTGTGTTACCAATTGTTTTCTTGGTGACTATGGTCCCAGCTGCCTTGAGATTATTGACAAGATCCTCCCGTGTAGTTCTGGGCTGATTCCTTACCGTTCTCATGATCATTGCAACTCCACGAGGTGAGATCTTGCATGGAGCCCCAGGCCGAGGGAGATTGACAGTTATTTTGTGTTTCTTCCATTTGCGAATAATCGAACCAACTGTTGTCACCTTCTCACCAAGCTACTTGGCGATGGTCTTGTAGCCCATTCCAGCCTTGTGTAGGTCTACAATCTTGTCCCTGACATCCTTGGAGAGCTCTTTGGTCTTGGCCATGGTGGAGAGTTTGGAATCTGATTGATTGATTGCTTCTGTGGACAGGTGTCTTTTATACAGGTAATAAGCTGAGATTAGGAGCACTCCCTTTAAGAGTGTGCTCCTAATCTCAGCTCGTTACCTGTATAAAAGACACCTGGGAGCCAGAAATATTTCTGATTGAGAGGGGGTCAAATACTTATTTCCCTCATTAAAATGCAAATCAATTCATACCATTTTTGACATGCGTTTTTGACAAGACCAAAACGGAGCTCTTTGGCATCAACTCAACTCGCCGTGTTTGGAGGAGGAGGAATGCTGCCTATGACCCCAAGAACACCATCCCACATGGAGGTGGAAACATTATGCTTTGGGGGTGTTTTTCTGCTAAGGGGACAGGACAACTTCACCGCATTAAAGGGACGATGGACGGGGCCATGTACCGTCAAATCTAGGGTGAGAACCTCCTTCCCTCAGCCAGGGCATGGAAAATGGGTCGTGGATGGGTATTCCAGCATGACAATGACCCAAAACACACGGCCAAGGCAACAAAGGAGTGGCTCAAGAAGAAGCACATTAAGGTCCTGGAGTGGCCTAGTCAGTCTCCAGACCTTAATCTCATAGAAAATCTGTGGAGGGAGCTGATGGTTCGAGTTGCCAAACGTCAGCCTCGAAACTTTAATGACTTGGAGAAGATCTGCAAAGAGGAGTGGGACAAAATCCCTCCTGAGATGTGTGCAAACCTGGTGGCCAACTACAAGAAACGTCTGACCTCTGTGAGTGCCAACAAGGGTTTTGCCACCAAGTACTAAGTCTTATTTTGCAGAGGGGTCAAATACTAATTTCCCTCATTAAAATGCAAATCAATTCATAACATTTATGACATGCGTTTTTCTGGATTTTTTTGTTGTTATTCTGTCTCTCACTGTTCAAATAAACCTACCATTAAAATTATAGACTGATCATTTCTTTGTCAGTGGGCAAACGTACAAAATCAGCAGGGGATCAAATACTTTTTTCCCTCACTGTAAGCACCCACATATTAGATTCTATGTTCTGCCAAGCCATCCACTTTTCTAACTCCCTTCATCTCCCCCTCTCCTCCTCTCCCCCTGTTCACCCAGGTCTTTCTGCCTGTCGTATGACATGAAGCAGCACTCCACCAAGGTGTTCAGGGACATCGTCAATGCTCTGGGCTCCTTCATCCAGTCCCTCTTTATTGTCCTCAACACAGGAAACCCTGCTGCTACCAACGCTTCCACCGGTCAGGAGTGTTGACCTTTCGTGTTATAGCTTTTGACATATAATGTAGTGGAATCTATGGTGAAGTAAAGGAAAGTCTAGGATAGGAGTAGGCAACTCAGGAGGGTACAGGAGAGTGTGGTCTGCAGGGTGCATGCTTTTGTTCCAACCCATCACTAACAGCACACTCTCTTTTTCTCCTTCCTTCCCTCCATCTCTCTCTCCCTCGTTTCTCTCTGTCTCCCTCCCTAGGTGGGTCTGGGTCGGGGGCCCAGGGGGCTTCCCAGGTGGGTCTAGGAGCAGGAGGTCAGGGTGGGAGTCTAACCACACAGGCTGCCTTTGAGTACCGCGGTACCTGGATCCCCCTCATGACCGTCAGTGTACAGGGCAGCGCCAAGGCTACCTAGTGAGTAGTACTACACACACACACACACACACACACACACACACACACACACAGAGAGACATACACAGAGAGACATACACTAGACATCTAGCTATTGCTGTCTAGATATGAATCGTCAATCCAATTATTACACACAGGAACCACGTTTCCATCCACAGTTTTAATGCGCGTAAAGTCATACTATATAAAAGAAAATCACGACAGCTGTGATGGGAACAGGAAGTTTTGGTACAATTTTACAAATGCCAACAGATCATTTGTTTGTTCGATATGGTGGGATCTTATTTGTGTTAGTCAAATTAATTATGCGAGAAATGGTAATGGTAACGCCTTTATGCGTAAATATTGATATAATAACCATCATATCAAAGTAAACTTGGAGTCACGCGATGATATGGTGTGTGGTCCTCCCACTACGACGAGACTACGACTCGGGAAACCATGCATTGTATTAGGCTATGATTAACTTTACAGGGTGGTGAAAGTGCACGGTGATGAGCTTGATGCTACTTTCCAATAAATATCAAGGGTCTTATTCTGGTGACATGATGATCAATGCTTGACTGCCGTTTGACAACTAAAAATATTCTTGCTCTTATCCATAATAATGTCATGTAAACTATCCTACCTGCACTGTATCTGGGAGCTGTTGGCTAGTGCACATGTGCCAAGACCAGAGTGGGCACATTTGCTATTTAACACGGCAGAGTTGAAAATGCGAGGGAGGGAGTAGCATCTGTTCGCTGTAATTATGATGCGATTGAGCAATGCTGGTGTTTTGATATAATAGAAGCTGGTTTGTTGATGCAGGAGAAAGAGTTGTCAAAACATCTACTTCCACATTGTGTTTCTGTAATGAACAATTGGCCAGGGACAGCTGATCCTGCAGGTGTTTAAATAAGCAGCAGTCCAGTGAAAAATAGTTTGTTAGTAGGAGCTGAACAATAGTGATTGCACGCAGCCCCTTGTGATGTATTGTTCGCACATTCATACAACTCAGCAGGGTAGAGAAGTGGTTCTCAGCATCTGCACACACGCTAACACACACACACACACACTCATTCACATCATTACTCTCTCTTCCTCCGCCAGTCTGGAGATGTTGGACAAGGTGGAGCCCCCGTCTATCCCAGAGGGTTATGCTATGTCTGTGGCCTTCAGCGCCCTGCTGGACCTGGTCCGAGGCATCACCTCCATGATAGAGAGAGAATTGACCAAGGAGGAGGAGGAGGCGGCTGTACGCAGGGAGGCCAACCCAGACCAGAACACCCAGCCTGAGCCTGGTGAAGAGAGGGGAAGAGGGGAGGGGGATGAGGGTTAGGGGTTAGGACCGGGGGGCTTCTCTGGGCTGACAGAAAGGGCTGAATCCTAGCTTCACATACTGTACATGTGCAAATCTTGAACTTTGAAGCTCTTTTCTGACCTCTAGTGGTCAATCCAATGCATACAGTTCCTGAGGGAGTTTATCAATGTAGACTTACCACAGTGATGCACTCTGTTGTCATCCCTATTCAAAAGCTAACGTAGCATTTTAAATATAGATATCTGTACAAATGTATATTGCTTTTCCCCTATGTTGCTAACTAGTGTGTCTCTGTCAGGAGCCCATCTGGTCTGGGAGGAGATGGTCAGTGCGTGTTGGTGTGGTCTACTGGCTGCCCTCTCTCTCCTGCTGGACGCCAGGTAAACAACCCTCCTTATATATCACCTCAAAGTAAATGTATTTAGTATCCCCTCAAAGTAAATGCATTTAGTATCCCCTCAAAGTAAATGCATTTAGTATCCCCTCAAAGTAAATGCATTTAGGATCCCCTCAAAGTAAATGTATTTAGTTACCCCTCAAAGTAAATGTATTTAGCTACCCCTCAAAGTAAATGCATTTAGTATCCCCTCAAAGTAAATGTATTTAGTTACCCCTCAAAGTAAATGTATTAAACTACCCCTCAAAGTAAATGTATTTAGGATCCCCTCAAAGTAAAGGTATTTAGAATCCTCTCAAAGTAACTTGATAGTGTGACAGGGGAAACTCAAGGTCAGGAGCAACAAAAGTTATTGAAACTACTGCGCCCAGCAACTATGGTCCCTAGACCATAGGTTGCTGTGTAAGGGGTCTGCAGATTAAACCGTTTTATGAAAATATTTTTCTCACGGCAAAAAGTGAAGACGTTGCGGCAGTTAGGCCTTCATCAACATTTGTTCCAAACCCATAACCCCCTCTGTGTCTCGTCCCCCTCCAGTACAGATGAGACGGCGACAGAGAGCATCCTGAAGGCAGAGCTGACCGTGGCGTCGCTGTGTGGTCGCCTGGGCCTGGTGACGCCCCGCGACGCCTTCATCACAGCCATCTGCAAGGCCTCGCTGCCCCCACACTACGCCCTGACCGTCCTCAGCAGTAATACAGCCAACCTTAACAACAAGGGTCAGTCGTGGCTGCTAAATCGTGGCCGCTACTGCAAAAACATTTTTACTAAACATTTGGGATCGTAAAACGTTTTCAGTGTAAACTTAAACTACTAAAACCAGATGTAAAGTATGTTGAAAAGATAATGGAGCAACATTTTTACATAAGTTAATCTTTGAGAACTAATAATCACCTAAATAAAAGCTAGACAGTCAGGGAGAATCTAAAATTCCAAAAATTGTATGGCATTGGACCCCCATTAATTTTGTTGTAATGTTTGAGTCAGTCAGATAGCATAAGAACAAGGCATAAGCAAAATGTGTATAAGTGAAGGAAATTTGCTTTAAAACTGAAAATGTTCTCTCAGCTCCGTGGCAAAATGTGTAGAATTGCGAGAAATTCGCTTTAAAACAGCAACATTTTTTCTGCAGCTAAGAAGACAGCCTCTAAAACCGCGCCATTGGCCACTACCACGCACCCTCCAAAAATGTCTAGGGGAAACACTGGCGCGTGTACGTCAGTACCCTGTGTGCGTGGGTGGGTGCATGCTTGTGTGACAGCGCAAGCTTGTGTGCGTTCATAGCGGTCTTCTCTCATGGCTTTGCTACATCAGCTCTGTGATAATTATACAGTGGGGGAAAAAAGTATTTAGTCAGCCACCAATTGTGCAAGTTCCCCCACTTAAAAAGATGAGAGAGAGGCCTGTAATTGTCATCATAGGTACACGTCAACTATGACAGACAAATTGAGATTTTTTTTCTCCAGAAAATCACATTGTAGGATTTTTTATGAATTTATTTGCAAATTATGGTGGAAAATAAGTATTTGGTCACCTACAAACAAGCAAGATTTCTGGCTCTCACAGACCTGTAACTTCTTCTTTAAGAGGCTCCTCTGTCCTCCACTCGTTACCTGTATTAATGGCACCTGTTTGAACTTGTTATCAGTATAAAAGACACCTGTCCACAACCTCAAACAGTCACACTCCAAACTCCACTATGGCCAAGACCAAAGAGCTGTCAAAGGACACCAGAAACAATTGTAGACCTGCACCAGGCTGGGAAGACTGAATCTGCAATAGGTAAGCAGCTTGGTTTGAAGAAATCAACTGTGGGAGCAATTATTAGGAAATGGAAGACATACAAGACCACTGATAATCTCCCTCGATCTGGGGCTCCACGCAAGATCTCACCCCGTGGGGTCAAAATGATCACAAGAACGGTGAGCAAAAATCCCAGAACCACACGGGGGGACCTAGTGAATGACCTGCAGAGAGCTGGGACCAAAGTAACAAAGCCTACCATCAGTAAAACACTACGCCGCCAGGGACTCAAATCTTGCAGTGCCAGACGTGTCCCCCTGCTTAAGCCAGTACATGTCCAGGCCCGTCTGAAGTTTGCTAGAGTGCATTTGGATGATCCAGAAGAGGATTGGGAGAATGTCATATGGTCAGATGAAACCAAAATATAACTTTTTGGTAAAAACTCAACTCGTCGTGTTTGGAGGACAAAGAATGCTGAGTTGCACCCAAAGAACACCATACCTACTGTGAAGCATGGGGGTGGAAACATCATGCTTTGGGGCTGTTTTTCTGCAAAGGGACCAGGACGACTGATCCGTGTAAAGGAAAGAATTAATGGGGCCATGTATCGTGAGATTTTGAGTGAAAACCTCCTTCCATCAGCAAGGGCATTGAAGATGAAACGTGGATGGGTCTTTCAGCATGACAATGAGCCCAAACACACCGCCCGGGCAACGAAGGAGTGGCTTCGTAAGAAGCATTTCAAGGTCCTGGAGTGGCCTAGCCAGTCTCCAGATCTCAACCCCATAGAAAATCTTTGGAAGGAGTTGAAAGTCTGTGTTGCCCAGCGACAGCCCCAAAACATCACTGCTCTAGAGGAGATCTGCATGGAGGAATGGGCCAAAATACCAGCAACAGTGTGTGAAAACCTTGTGAAGACTTACAGAAAACGTTTGACCTGTGTCATTGCCAACAAAGGGTATATAACAAAGTATTGAGAAACTTTTGTTATTGACCAAATACTTATTTTCCACCATAATTTGCAAATAAATTCATAAAAAATCCTACAATGTGATTTTCTGGATTTTTTTTCCTCATTTTGTCTGTCATAGTTGACGTGTACCTATGATGAAAATTACAGGCCTCTCTCATCTTTTTAAGTGGGAGAACTTGCACAATTGGTGGCTGACTAAATACATTTTTTTCCCACTGTACATACATGCCTCTGAGGAACTTGATAAGCCGGTAGTTAGTTGTTTATTTGTACACTTCATGCGCTTTTCACCCCAAGTCTCTCTGTCTGTATACGTTTGTGAGAGTGTGAAGCTCTAGAGCCGTTGCTGTGTGTGATCTCCATACTAACCACTGTGATGCCCCACTTATATGTCATTAATCCTGGCTGTGCCTCAACTGTTTCCCTATTCCCTCTAATTAGTAACACCAAGATGAATGGGGGGGATACACACGCTCTCGCTCAAGCACACACACACTATTTGCATATTTGCTGTGATAGATCGAGCTTGCAAATTGGCTTCAGCAGGATCGATGTTTGCTTGGGAGTTAATAAATCAAGTCTCTGTAGCATGTAGCTGGTTTGTCACAGTCACTCAGTGAAGTATATACATGGAAATGACCGACGTTGTGTTATTATTATCAGGGCTGTCTGTCTGTCTGTCTGTGAGGTACATCATGAAGAAAAAAGAAGGAACTCATCGTGTGGACCAATGAGTCTAAATATATTTTTGGACCTCCAAAAGATTTGGTCCTTGTGATTACTTTTGTTGTGGACTCAAATAAAACATGTGTGTGTTCTCCTGTCCTCCTCAGCCTACTCCATCCAGGGCCAGAGTGTTCAGATCATCAGTTCCTCCAGTGAGTCTCATCAGCAGGTGGTGGCTGTGGGACAGCCTCTCTCTCTACAGCCCCAAGGCACCGTGGTGGTAAGATTACCTCTACACAACATTACTACAACACCTCATCTAGAGGCCACCGTGGTGGTAAGATACACTATATATACAAAAGTATGTGGACAACCCTTCAAATTAGTGGATTCGGCTATTTCAGCCACACCCGTTGCTGACAGGTGTATAAAATTGAGCACACCGCCATGCAATCTCCATAGACAAACACTGTCAGTAGAATAGCCTTACTGAAGAGCTCAGTGACATTCAACGTGGCACCATCATAGGATGCTACCTTTCCAACAAGTCAGTTCGTCAAATTTCTGCCCTGCTAGAGCTGCCCCAGTCAACTGTAAGTGCTGTTATTGTGAAGTGGAAATGTCTAGGAGCAACAACGGCTCAGCCATGAAGTGGTAGGCCACACAAGCTCACAGAATGGGACCGTCGAGTGCTGAAGCGTGTTCCGCATAAAAATCGCAACACTCACTACCGAGTTCCAAACTGCCTCTGGATGCAACGTCGGCACAATAACTGTTCGTCGGGAGCTTCATGAAATGGGTTTCCATGCTCACAAGCCTAAGATCACTGTGCGCAATGTCAAGCTTTGGCTGGAGTGGTTTAAAGCTCGCCGCCATTGGACTCTGGACCAGCGGAAATGCGTTCTCTGGAGTAATGAATCATGCTTCAACATCTGGCAGTCCGACGGACAAATCTGGGTTTGAAGGATGCCAGGAGAACGCTACCTATCCGACTTCATAGTGCCAACTGTAAAGTTAGGTGGAGGAGGAATAATGGTCTGGGGCTGTTTTTCATGGTTCGGGCTAGGCCCCTTAATTCAAGTGAAGGGAAATCTTAACGCTACAGCATACAATTACATTCTAGACGATTCTGTGCTTCCAACTTTGTGGCAACAGTTTGGGGAAGACCCTTTCCTGTTTCAGCATGACAATGTCCCCATGCATAAAGCGAGGTCCATACAGAAATGGTTTGTTGATCGGTGTGGAAGAACTTGACTGACCTGCACAGAGCCCTGACCTCAACCCCATTGAACACCTTTGGGATGAATTGGAATGCCGACTGCGAGCCAGGCCTAATCGCCCAACATCAGAGCCTGACCTCACTAATGCTCTTGTGCCTTAATGGAAGCAAGTCCCCGCAGCAATGTTCCAACATCTAGTGGAAAGCCTTCCCAGAAGAGTGGAGGCTGTTTAAGCAGCAAACGGGGGACCAACTCCATATTAATGGACAAGCAGGTGTCCACATACTTTTGGTACCTCTACACAACATTCCTACAACACCACAACTGGAGAGCACCGTATGGGCACATCTTAGAGGTTCACACATACAAACAGTAGTGTTGCATAACTCCATCTCTCCCTCTATCAGCTGACAGCTAAGAATATCCAGTGTATGCGGGCCCTGTTGAACCTGGCCCACTGCCACGGGGCAGTGCTGGGAACCTCCTGGCAGCTGGTGCTGGCCACGCTGCAGGTACACTACCACCTGTGTCCACCACACACCAGAGGACGCTGGTAGGAGGAACTATAGGAGGACGGGCTCATTGTAATGGCTGGAATTGAATAAATGGAACAGTCAAACGTGGTTTCCCTATGTTTGATTTGTTTGATATTGTTCCATTTATTCCATTCCAGCCATTACAATGAGCCTGTCCTCCTATAGCTCCTCCCACCAGCCTCCTCTGCCACACACACACACACTGGCACTGTTCTACAGCGTATTATAACCAAGCTGGGATTTCCTTATTTTTTTTGTTGTTGCTATTGACAAGCCTAAATATTTAAATGAATTAAAACAGGTTTTTCTGTTCTGAGTATATGGTGGAAGTAGTCTGAGTGAATCACTCTTTCTTTGACTTTTCTCACCACCCTCTCCACTCTTCCTGTTCTGTCCATCTTCCACCTTCCCGCTCCTCTCCCAGCACCTGGTGTGGATCCTAGGCCTGAAGCCTGGGGTTGGAGGTGCTCTGAAGCCTGGTCGTGCAGTAGAGGGGCCAAGCACGGTAAGACACGACCACCAATCTATTGCCCTGCCTTACGTAGTCACACTGTACTTAATTCAATTCTCTGCATCAATTAGCAGTAGAGTTTCATTGGCCATTCACTACTGCCCTTCAGCCTTTAAAGCTAGAGACCACACTAAGGTACTTTGCTTTGCTGGATATTACAGACGACCCACAGTCCACCTGAACCTGTCAACTCTCTGACTCCTCTATGATGTCTGTTGGTTACAGGTGCTGACCACGGCTGTGATGACGGACCTGCCTGTCATCTCCAGCATCCTGTCTAGGCTCTTTGAGAGCTCCCAGTACTTAGACGACGTGTCACTGCATCACCTGATCAACGCACTATGCTCCCTCTCTCTGGAAGCTGTGGAGATGGCCTATGGGACTAACAAGGTAACTACTACATATGCATGTAGCCAGAGCAACAATGTATGACCTCCCCATCTTCTGAATGTGCCGCCTTGTGTTACTAAATGTGTAATAATGCTTATATCCACTGAACCAGTCACTCCTATGTTCTGTTCTCGTCCTGTGTCCAGGAGCCATCTCTGTTTGCGGTGGCCAAGCTGCTGGAGACCGGCCTGGTTAACATGGACCGTATAGAGATCCTGTGGAGGCCCCTCACTGGACATCTACTGGAGGTATGTCTTCCAATCACTATTATAGACCGTTATAGACCTTTATATACCATCATAATGGAAGTAGTGGGTAGTGAAGTCCAGGGTTCAAATGATATTTTGTAATAATATAAAATCTGTACTTGATTGAGCTTGCTTGCTTTAAATGGTCCAATAAAATAATCCCAATACTTCAAACTGCCCATCTCACATTCCGGGCAGGCTCAAGCAAACTTTGAAAGTATTTGAAATATTTCAAATAGTATTTGAACCCAGGTCTGGTGAAGTGGTATTTTGGAAAAGCTTCGATAGATACTTCTCAAGCCCTCTCATATCATGGTAATGGTAGTAGCTCCTCCATTTCTAATGCTTTGAGTGGCATCTACCCTCTATGTAGTCAAAGTAATACACATTTGATCTGTGGAGGTTCTGTGTGTATGGTTGTGTGTTTGTCTGAAACGAACGGTTCTCTTCAAGTTGTCTTTTCTCTATCTCCCTCTCTTTTACAACCCATGTCTGTTTTGCAGAAGGTAAGCTCCGAAACTTCTCCTCCCAATCACTTGCTTTCTCTTTCATTGCCTGGTATCAATGTGTTGGAGCTGAGAGTATGCTATGGGCAGCTTGCACCAGATTTATGTTTTCTTCGCTGTTATGTTTGATCTAAATTTCCTCGCATGAGTTGCATTTTTGGAACTCTGTTTTTGTTTGTATGCATACTATACAGCAGAGGTCACCAACCTTTTCTGAGGACAGATTACTTTCTGAGTCAAAATGCAAGCTGAGATCTACCGCTCAGATTTTCTTTCTAACGTGACTTAGAAAACATAAGCCTATGCAACATTAACCAATTAAAAACAGTTCTGTAGCAATGAGGTTTGTGCAGCAGGCTATAGGCCCAATACATTATCACTACATATTGCAAAATGTAGGTATATGATCACACTGGTATAGATCATTTGATGTATTACTTAGGGCGGCAGGTAGCTTAGTGGTTAAGAGCGTTGTGCCAGTAACCGAAAGGTCGCTGGTTCTAATCCCTGAGCAGACTAGGTGAAAAATCTGTCGATGTGCCCTTGAGCAAGGCACTTAACCCTAATTGCTCCTGTAAGTCGCTCTGGATAAGAGCGTCTGCTAAATGACTAAAATGTAAATGATGTAATGTAAACTTGTGAGGCACAGCTGAGTCTGCATCTGATAGTCAGTCTGAGGGGAGGGAGCAGCTGTGAGGATGCCTCTCACCCGACTCACCGTCCCTCCTCTCTCCTTCCCTTCGCTGAGAAAAGGGGACACAGTCTTCCAGCTGATGGCGAAACTTAAGTCGCACTGCATTACTTCTGCCTCATGCACCGTTGTTACACCTATGACCAGAGAAAGTGAAATATTCCTAGATAATAAAATACACAAGCTGCTAATAATTACAACTAAAGATTATCGAAACACTCATTTTATGGATAATAAAAGTGTTGAACAAAGTGTTGACAGTGCTGAATAACAACTTAAACATGAACTTACTCATAAAAACAGCAGCTCTTTGCTGTATTTGTTGAGTCTCTAGTTATGGTTTTAAACGTTTTGAAATCTCACATCAACTTTGCTGTGCATTCGAGGCTTCTTTTACAGTCTATGGCGCGAGGACACTGTGCAGACACGATGATCTGAGCTATTTGATTGGCCAGCAGCAGGCCTATAGGTGCACTTGATTTGCTGTCTGGGCCTGCTGGGTAGATAGAGTTCTACCTTCAGACACATGAAATGGTTCAACATGGGAACACTTTGCCTTCCCGGCGCCAGAGTTGCTGAATCAAGTGCAGCTACGGTCAACAGCACAAATTTTTTTTTTTTTTTAAATAGGAATGCAAGGCTTTATCGTTGGGGTTTTTACAGAAATGTTTGGTGATTGATTAGGAATGCCTTGGAAATCGACTAGTCGAGCGCGCATTGTTATACAGACACCTGAATATCTAATACATCTTCACCCATCAGCTGTAATGATATGCTAGCCTTTCTAGGCAAGTCACATACTTGTTTCATGTTGGGCAACGAGTAGACAACACAGACACTTGTGGGGTGTAAAGGATGGTGCTAATATGGTGTCTTAATCACTGTTGGTGTAGCTGTCCAGGGGAATAGTGAAATGAGCAGCAATGTAACTCGTTGAAAGCCAGCTGATCTCGCCACAGCTTTCATAATTATGTGTCTGTCAAATGGGATTACGTTATTTTATTGTTGGGCTAACAGAAAATCACAGGCATACAGTCTATGTTTTAACCACCGGGTGGACATACACTTTGAACAGCCCCTGACTCAGATCTCTCTCTCTCTCTCTCTCTCTCTCTCTCTCTCTCTCTCTTCCCCCCCTCTCCCTTTTCTCTCTCTTCCCCCCTTTTTCTCTCTCCATGCTCGTGTGTGTGTGTACCCTACCCTCTGATGTTCCCTGCTGCAGGTCTGCCAGCACCCCAATGCCAGGATGAGAGAGTGGGGGGCTGAGGCTGTGACCGCCCTCATCAAAGCTGGCCTGGCCTATAAGCACAACCCCCCTCTGGCACAGAACCAGGTACTACTACTACCCCATCTCTCTCATCTTTACACAGTAACCCAAACACAGGGAATACTGTAACATTTCCTGTCTAGAAGTTGGAAGACTGTTACAATGCAATGCAATGGAAGGTGTTAAGATGAATAGCTATTAGTCCGCTTCACCATGCCAACCCACCCACACATAGTTGGCATGTTTAGATCTCAAGGCCACTCCCTGCCCTCTTTCTTTCACTCTGTCCCTCTCTCTCTCTCTCTCTCTCTCTCTCTCTCTCTCACTCTCTGACTCTCTCACTCTCTCACTCTCTCACTCTGTCAATTCAATTTTAATTCAAAGGCCTTTATTGGCATGGGAAACATATGTTTATATTGCCAAAGCAAGTGAAATAGATAAAGAAATGTGAAATAAACAGTAAACATTACACTCACAAAAGTTTCAAAGGAATAGAGACATTTAAATAAACATAAATATGGATTGTATTTACAATGGCGCTTGTTCTTCACTGGTTGCCCTCTGTCCCTCTGTCAGAGGCTGCAGCTCCTGCTGTTGAACCCTCTGAAGGAGCTGTCCAACGTGCTCCATGCAGACATCCGTCAGAAACAGCTGGAGAGTGTGCTGCAGATCCTCCAGAGCCAGGGGGACAGTCTGGGGCCCGGCTGGCCCTTAGTGCTGGGGGTCATAGGGGCCATCCGCAACGACCAGGGGTGAGAGAGCGAGGGGGGATGAAAGGATAGATGGAAAGAGGGATAACGTTGAAGCGGTGCAGAGATAATGTGCTTCTTTACTATTTTAGCAGTAGTAACACTTAAAGCGGCAATATGTTGCTTTTTGGGTGACCCGACCAAATTCACATAGAAATGTGAGTTATAGATCTGTCATCCTCATTGAAAGCAAGTCTAAGAAGCTGTAGATCTGTTCTATGTGCGTTATTTCTATGCTTCCCGTTCTTAAGTTTCGTTTGTGCGTCTTTTACTTTCGGTTTTGTACACCAGCTGAAAATAAGATATTTTGTGTTATTAAAAATATATTTCACAGCGGTTTAGATTGTACAATGGTTTTCTGCACTATGCATTGCTTGTTTTGTCACATAAACTGAAATTAGGCAAACTATTTAATTTATTTTAGCAGCCAGGAAATGGCAGAGGGAATTCTGCATATTGCACCTTTAATTGAACTCGCATGCTGTATTTCCTCCTGTCCCCCAGAGAGTCATTGATCCGAACAGCCTTCCAGTGCCTGCAGTTGGTGGTGACTGACTTCCTCCCCACCATGCCTTGCACGTGCCTGGAGATCGTACTGGATGTAGCTGGCAGCTACGGCCTCCAGAACCAGGAGCTCAACATCAGCCTCACCTCCATAGGACTCCTGGTGAGACTGAACACAAAATGACAAATACTAACCCTAACTCAACATCTGTCTCCCCTCAATAGGACTCCTGGTACGACCGCAGTATGTGGCATATATTGTTTTATATCCTATATTGTATTGAGTTTGAACACTGATTGCTGATACTGTTATAAGAAGCTTATAATTGCTATTGCGTCCCCCCAAAGCATTACTTTTCTAGTAATTCAACAATGATCTTTGAAAAGTGACACTGTCTGTACTAGTGATTTTAGTCAACCTCTCTCTCCCCCCGTTTTCCCCCACAGTGGAACATCTCAGACTACTTCTTCCAGAGGGGCGAGGCCATCACCCAGGAGCTAGAGAGGGAGGAGGCAGCGCTGCAGAAGCAGGCCCAGGATAAGGGTGAGCCCCTGAACAGGCCCTTCCACCCGGCCCCTCCCTTCGACTGCCTGTGGCTGTGTCTGTACGCCAAGCTGGGCCAGCTGTGTGTGGACCCCCGGCCCGCCGTCAGGAAGAGCGCCGGTCAGACCATGTTCTCCACCATCGCTGCCCACGGCACCCTGCTGCAGCAGCCCACCTGGCACATCGTCGTCTGGAAGGTACCGTCTAGTCACTAACAATAATCACATAGAACGTTAGTCCTGAATGATACATGGCTGTAGACTCCTATGACATACTGGAAGGTATTCAAATGTTCAGTCACTGGCCCTCGTCTATTAAGGAAACATACGCTCAAATAGGATTGTACGTTTGGGATCTGTCAATTTGAACCTGATCATACGTGATTAAGTGCTGCTACTAATACTTTAAACCACCCAGTATGATTTTAACAACCTTATTGGTCATCTGCCCTCTGGTGGTCCATTAAAACAGGTTCTGTTCCACCTGCTGGACTGTGTGAGGAAGTCTTCCACCACGGCCGATAAGGAAAAGATTGAGTCAGGGGGTGGGAACATCCTCATCCACCACTCACGGGACACAGCTGAGAAACAGTGGGCGGAGACCTGGGTGCTGACACTGGCAGGGGTGGCTCGTATCTTCAACACCAGGAGATACCTGCTGCAGCAACTAGGTGTGTGTCTGTGTGTGGTCGCATGTTTTTTTTTAAATGTAAAGCTTTTCTCATTAATCTCTTATGTCTACACTCAATGACAAGAGGAGGAAGATGGTTGATTTATGGACAGTGCTCCTCCTCCTATCATTGCCCTGTCCCCATGCATATGCAAAATACTGATTTAATGAATAGGCCCCAATATTTGCCTCTTCTTACCTGGTTCTGTGTCCACTCCACAGGTGACTTCTTCAAGGCGTGGGAGGTTCTGTTGGACCACATCCAGTCTGCTGCCCTCAGTAAGAACAGCGAGGTCTCCCTGGCCGCGCTCAAGTCCTTCCAGGAGATCCTCCAGATCGCTACACCCGTCAAGGACTCCGCCATGCCCACCGACGCTCTGGCTGCTATGGGCGTTCACCCGGTCCTCATCGACCCCCTCAGCGCCTCAGGCCCCGGCAGACCCCTGCTGCGCTCCAACTCGATGTTGGAGAGGCTGACGCGCTACAACGATGCTGAACTCCAGGCCCCTCCCCCAGGGGAGGAGTCAGCACTGGAGGATGCGGCGCTGTGGTGGTCGGCGTGGAACACCTGGTACCGGACAGGCACGGACAGCACGAGGCCCCCTAGTGGCGGGACGGGGGCAGACAGATCCTTCTTTATCCCCAGCCAGCCCTACCTGACAGCGTTAGTCCAGATCTTCCCTGCCCTCTACCAGCACATCAAGACTGACTTCAGCATGGAGGACCTGAGGAAGCTGGGGGTGATCCTCCACGGGGGCGTGTCCATACCGATCAGCAGTGACGCCTCGCCCTTCATCCTGCCCTCTTACACTGAGGCTGTCCTCACCAGCCTGCAGGAGGCCGTGCTCACCGCACTCGACGTGCTGCAGAAGGTGGGTGGGCCGCAGCACAGAAATTATAACATTTTTAAAGTGTTTCGCAAAATCAGATAAAGGCATTTTTCAACTGCTGAATTGGGCTAGTAGTCCAATCCACACACACACACTGTTAAATGCTCTCAAAGTGCCCTTTTTATTAGATGGACAAGGTTTCTATTCCTTTGTTGTCCTCTGTTATGGAAACTAGCAGATTGATTTCAAGGGCAATTGTTCCTTTTCTCCTGCACCTACTAATGGAACAGTATGTGATTGTGCAATAATAACCATGTTTAATAAACTGATGGGAGTCAGTAGTGAGTAAGGTTCCCTGGTTCTATTGAGGTCAGTAGTGAGTAAGGTTCCTGTCTCTCCCTCTGCAGGCCATCTGTGTGGGCCCAGAGAACCTGCAGGTTATGTACCCAGCTATCTTTGAACAGCTCCTCCTCTTCGTCGAGTTCTCCTGCAAACCCCCCCAGTACGGCAAGATGGAAACCAAACATGTGGCCAACGCTAAATACAACCAGGTAACGAATCACAATCCCTCGCTCTCTCTGCCGTTGTCTTTCTCTGACGCTTTGTCTGCAAGTTTTGTCTTCCTCTCTCTTTCAAGCTTTCTCTCTTTCTCTCTCTCGTTGTCTCGATACCTCTGATATTTTCCATTGAGGGAATGTTGTTGAAACAATTTCTGTCCCAGTCGTCCGTTTGTCTCTAGACTTTCTGAACATGGTCATCCCCCCGTCCCCGTCTCGTGACTTTAATGAAGCGCATCCCCTTTCCTCCCCCCCGTCTCGTGACTTTAATGAAGCGCATCCCCTTTCTTCCCCCCGTCTCGTTAATGAAGCGCATCCCCTTTCTTCCCCCCGTCTCGTGACTTTAATGAAGCGCATCCCCTTTCTTCCCCCCGTCTCGTGACTTTAATGAAGCGCATCCCCTTTCTTCCCCCCGTCTCGTGACTTTAATGAAGCGCATCCCCTTTCTTCCCCCCGTCTCGTGACTTTATTGAAGCGCATCCCCTTTCTTCCCCCCGTCTTGTGACTTTAATGAAGCGCATCCCCTTTCTTCCCCCCGTCTCGTGACTTTAATGAAGCGCATCCCCTTTCTTCCCCCCGTCTCGTGACTTTAATGAAGCGCATCCCCTTTCTTCCCCCCGTCTCGTGACTTTAATGAAGCGCATCCCCTTTCTTCCCCCCGTCTCGTGACTTTAATGAAGCGCATCCCCTTTCTTCCCCCCGTCTTGTGACTTTAATGAAGCGCATCCCCTTTCTTCCCCCCGTCTCGTGACTTTAATGAAGCGCATCCCCTTTCTTCCCCCCGTCTCGTGACTTTAATGAAGCGCATCCCCTTTCTTCCCCCCGTCTCGTGACTTTAATGAAGCGCATCCCCTTTCTTCCCCCCGTCTCGTGACTTTAATGAAGCGCATCCCCTTTCTTCCCCCCGTCTCGTGACTTTAATGAAGCGCATCCCCTTTCTCCCCCCCGTCTCGTGACTTTAATGAAGCGCATCCCCTTTCTTCCCCCCGTCTCGTTAATGAAGTGCATCCCCTTTCTTCCCCCCGTCTCGTGACTTTAATGAAGCGCATCCCCTTTCTTCCCCCCGTCTCGTGACTTTAATGAAGCGCATCCCCTTTCTTCCCCCCGTCTCGTTAATGAAGCGCATCCCCTTTCTTCCCCCCGTCTCGTTAATGAAGCGCATCCCCTTTCTTCCCCCCGTCTCGTGACTTTAATGAAGCACATCCCCTTTCCTCCCCCCCGTCTCGTTAATGAAGCGCATCTCCTTTCTTCCCCCAGTCTCGTTAATGAAGCGCATCTCCTTTCTTCCCCCCCCCCGTCTCATTAATGAAGCACATCTCCTTTCTTCCCCCCCGTCTCATTAATGAAGCGCATCCCCTTTCTTCCCCCCCGTCTCATTAATGAAGCGCATCCCCTTTCTTCCCCCCTCGTCTCATTAATGAAGCGCATCTCCTTTCTTCCCCCCCCGTCTCATTAATGAAGCACATCTCCTTTCTTCCCCCCCGTCTCATTAATGAAGCACATCTCCTTTCTTCCCCCCTGTCTCATTAATGAAGCGCATCCCCTTTCTTCCCCCCTCGTCTCATTAATGAAGCGCATCCCCTTTCTTCTCCCCCCCTCGTCTCATTAATGAAGCGCATCCCCTTTCTTCCCCCCCTCGTCTCATTAATGAAGCGCATCCCCTTTCTTCCCCCCCTCGTCTCATTAATGAAGCGCATCCCCTTTCTTCCCCCCCTCGTCTCATTAATGAAGCGCATCCCCTTTCTTCCCCCCCTCGTCTCGTTAATGAAGCGCATCCCCTTTCTCCCCCCCGTCTCGTTAATGAAGCTCATCCCCCACCCCCCCCCCCCCCCCCCCCCCCCCGTCTCGTTAATGAAGTGCATCCCCTTCTTTTGTCTGGTCCTCATTTGCCACGCCCCTATTGTTCTAATCAATTGACACATAGCTGGGTCTTTTAAACCACATCAGCAGCCCTAAACTATCCCTCTTCTTTCTCTCTCATTCACACCAGCCCCTCAGGCTGGCAGTTCTCTAGCCCCAGGTGACATTTTTCCAGCTTTTGGCAGGTCTCAGACCAAGTTCATGACTCTTCCCTTTTCTCAGAATGAAGGACAAGTGAGATTCACTTAACTCGTACAACCCCTTTTTAAAGTAGGCTAGTAGATGATACCTTCTTTGTTCATGCTGAGTTCAGACCAGAAGGGAATCTTTCAAACAAAGCTAGGATCTCATCGGTGTTTTCCTCACTTATATGTATTCTCACACTTACAAAAAAAAGCCTGTCAAACGGTCTGGTCTTTGATGAAGTCATCTGGTGTAGCAGCTGCTGTGCCTATCAGGGGAGATGCAGTATGTTGTATTGAGTGGTTTTGATTTCATGGTGGTGGCTGAATCAGCTATGCTAATTAACGCTATCGCTACACACTCTCACCAGTAAAAGCTCCAAGTCTGTCTGTCACTTGACCTGTCAGTCGTTCATACTGTCAGTCAGTTTGTTGTTCAATCAAACCGTTAAAAAACATGATTGCCACTGTCAGTCAATTGGTCAGTGGCGACAAGTTGGTATAATAACACCAGGCACCAGCAAACAAGTTAACTCCAACCTTCTCCTTGTTCTGTTTTTGTGTCGTACTATCCATCTACTCACTGGATCAACCTTTAGATCCAACTGTTTGCACCGGTGAGTTCCACCTCCCCCCTACAGCCCCCTTTAGTACTGTATTGTACTGTACTCAGCTGTGTACTACTGCTCAATGGTCCCATCACTACTACAGTAGATGAGGCATTTCACCCACTGCATGGTAAGACGTTGTCTACATCATTTACTCCATGTTACCTACCTACCCCTCTCTGTTCTGTCCATCACTAACCAGTCCCTCCAGGATTTCGCAGGGATTTTTTGTGAAATTTGCAGGGCAAAATTCTTGATTTTGCTGCGGCAATTCTGACATTTTGCATGGCAATATGCAATGATTTTGTCAGATTTGTCGCAAAAATGCATTGACGAGTTTGTTGACGTGTGGCTTGATTGAACCATATTATGCGGTAAATGTGCGGTGATTGGTTGTAATTGCGAGCACTCTTTTTGTTCTGTGTTCATGGGTCAGTTCTATGTGATAATATTGCGATGGTTTGACTGTTTTATGTGGAAATAGTGCGACGATCGGTCAAATTTTCAAGCCCTCGCATAATATGCTGGGAATTGTTGATTTAGCTAAAATAATTACGGTCACGGAATCCTGAAGAGGCTGACTAACCAGTGGGTATGCCTCTCTCTCTGAATCTACTACCTACCTGTCAAGTTCCATCCTCCTATTACTTATCTTACTGACTGTTTTAGTGTCGTGCTGTCCATATTTGCACATGTACAGTATTTCTACTACAAGTTCTATGGTGCTTTGCTCCTCTTAGTATTTGAATGGAGGGATGTTTTCAGCTTCAGTTAAACCCCCCCCCCCTCTCTCTCTCTCTCTTCTCTTGGGGGGTTTTTTAAATTTCCCAAAAAAATTTTTTTTTTTTTAAAAAAAAATTTTTTTCCCCCTTTTTTTTTTTGGAAAAAGTTTTGGGAATTTTTTAAAAAAAAAAAAAAAAAACAAGGGGTTTTAATTTTTTTTTTTTTTGGGTTTATTAAAAAAAAAGGGTTTTTTTTTTTTTGGGGTTTTTCCAATCCCCCTTTTTTCCCCCCAAAAAAGGGGTTTTTTAAAAAAAACCCCCCTTAAATTTTTTAAGGGGGAAAAAAGGGGTACCCTTTAAATTTAAAAAAATTTTTTTAAAAAAAAAAAAAGGGAAAGGGGGGGGAAAAAAAAAAAAAAGGGGGGGGGGGGGGGGAAAAAGGGTTTTGGGTTTAATTTTTTTTAAAAAGGGGGGGAAAAAAAAGGGGGGGGGAAGGGGGGGTTTTTTGGGGGGGGAATTTTTTAAACTTTTTTTTTTTTGGGGGGGGGTTTTTGGGTGGGGGGGGGGGGAAAAGGGGGGGGTTTTTTTTGGGGGGTTTTTTTAAGGAAAAATTTTTTGGGGGGGGGGGGGGGGGGGTTTTAAAAAAAAAGGGGGGGGGGGAGGGGAAAATTGGGGGGGGTTTTGGAAAATTTGGGGGGTGGGGGGGGGGGGGGGGGGGAAAAAAATTTGGGGGGGGGGAAAAAAAGGGGTTTTAAAAAAGGGGTGGGGGGTTTTTTTTTTTTTTTTTAAAAAAATTTTCCTTTAATTTAAAGGGGGGGGGGGGTTTTTTTGGGGGAAGTTTTAAAAAATTTTTTTTTGGGGGGGGGAAAAGGGGGGAAAAAATTTTTTTTTTAAAAAAAAAAAAGGGGCCCGGGGGGTTTTTTTAAAAAAAGGGGGGGGGGAAAAGGGGGGGGGGGGGGGGGAAAAAAAAAACCCCCCCCCCCCGGGGGGGCCCCCCTTTTTTCCCCCCCCTTTTTTTTTTTCCCCCCCGGGGGGGGGGGGGGGAAAAAAAGGGGGGGGTTTTCTTTTTTTTTTTGGGGGAAAAATTTTTGATTTTCTTTTTTTTTTAACTTTTTTTTTGGGGGGTTTTTTTTTTTTTTTTTTTTAAAATTGGGGGGGGGGTTTTTTTGGGGTTGGCCCCGGGGGGCCCGGGGGGGGAAAAAAAAAGGGGGGGGGGGGGGGGGCGGCGGGGGGCCCCCCCTTTTTTTCCCCTTTTTTTTTTCCCCCGGGCCGGGGGGGGGTTTTTCCCCTGGGGGGGGAAAAAAAAAAAAAAATTTTTTTTTTTTTCCCCCTTTTTTTTTGGGGGTTTCTTCTCTCCCCTTCTTTTTTTTCTCTTTTCCCTTTTTCTTTTCTCTTTTTTTTTTGGGGGGGCCCCCCCTTCCCTTTTTTTTCCCCCCCCTTTTTTTGGGCCCAAAAAAAAACCCTTAAAATGTTTTTAAAAAAATTTTTTTTTTTCCCCCCCCCAAAAAAGGCTTTTTTTTTTTTTTTCCCATTGGGGGTTTCTAAAAAAAAATTTTTTTTTTTTTTTTAAAAAATTTTCCCCAAATTTAAACCCAATTTTTTTTTAAAAAACCCCCCTTTTTTAAAAAAAAAAATTTTTTTTTAAAAAAAAATTTTTTCTTGGGGGGAAAAAAAAACCCCTTTTTAAACAACCCGGGGTTTTTGCCCAAAAATTTTTTTTTAAAAAAATTTTTTTTTTTTTTTTGGGGGGGGGTTTTTTTTTCCCCCAACCCTTTTTTGGGGTTTAAAACCCCCAAACCCCTTTTTTAAAAAAATTAAGCCCCAAAACCCAAAAAAAATTTTTTTTCCCCCCCCGGGGGTTTAAACCAAAAACCCCCCCTTGGGGGGGGTTTTGGGAAAAAAAATTTTTTTTGGGGGTTGGGGGGAAAAAAGGGGGTTTTGGCCCCTTTTTTTTTTTTTTAATTTTTTGGTTTAAAAAAACCGGAAAACCGGGGTTTTTTTTTTTTAATTTTGGGTTTCCCTTTTTTTCCCCCAAAAAAAAAAAAAACCCCCCCCCCCCCCCCAAAAAAAAAAAAAACCCCTTTTTTTCCCCCCTTTTTCCCCCCCCCCCCTTTTTCCCCCAAAAAACAAAATTTAAAAAAAAAAAATTTAACCATTTTTTTCCCCCCCCCCTTTTCCTTTTCCCCGGGAAAAGGTTGGGGGAAGAACCAAAAGTTCCCAGGGGGCCCCCCCCCTTTAAAAATTTTTTTTTAACCCCCCCTTTCTCTCCTTCCTCCATAGACCCTGAGGATGCCCCTGGGCCTGAGGTATGCGTGTCCGTCAGAGAGCACGTGGAAGCTAGCTGTGTCGTCCCTGCTCAAGGTGCTGTCCACCGGGCTACCCGTGGCCCGTCAGCATGCCTCCTCTGGGAGGTTTGACACTATGTGGCCAGAGCTGGCCAACGCCTTCGAAGACTTCCTTTTCACCAAAAGGTAGGTACACCTTTTCTCAGAGAGTTCATAAAAAATAGGCGGAGTGATTTCTACATATTGCGCCTTAAAATAAAAACATACCCATGAGATTTGACGCACCTGAATGTTCCTCAGTCTGGGAAACGGGCATTGATTCAGTGTTGACAATGGATGGAGGAATGGGGCTTGATTAGCTGTAAATCAATAGCTCATCAATTGCATTTCTGTTTCTGTTTTACAGCACACCTCCAGACAATGTGTCCATCCAGGAGTTCCAGAAGAATGAAGCCATTGACGTTGAGGTAAAACATGACTGACTGAACACACTTAAACCAATCTTTGAATTGTATTACTGCCTTTATACCTGCCAATCCCTGAGGTCTGTGTGTGGCCTCTCTCTGTAGGTGGTGCAGCTGATCAGCACAGAGATCTTGCCGTTTGCCATCTTCATACCCAAAGACTTTGTTGGCCAGATGATGGCCATGCTCAATAAAGGATCCATTCACTCACAGTCCTCCTCATTTACAGGTAAGGAAAGAACACCAACTCCTATTCCAGTACCTTTTGCTTTTCCACTAACGACATGTTAACACATGCCATACACTTCTGTTGGTCACAATGTATCATTTCAACAGCCTGGATTTTCCTTTTAAAAATGAATCTATAATCAACTATGTATTTTCTAGCATCACCTCTGAAACCAAATGTTTCTCATTCTAGTTATTTAGCAGATGCTCTTATATCACAGTGACTTACAATAAAGGCATTCAAATAGGTATGACAACCACATCACAATCTTTGCAAATACAACCATATTTCCCTTCACAGAGGCAGAGATAGACGTGCGGATGCGGGAGGAGTTCTCCAAAGTGTGTTTTGAGACGCTGCTCCAGTTCTCCTTCAGTAACAAGGTGTCCACACCCCAGGAAGGCTACATCTCCCGCATGGCCCTCTCTGTGCTCCTCAAGAGGTCCCAAGACGTGTTGAGGCGCTACGTGGACGATGAGAGGCTGAGTGGACGCTGCCCGCTGCCCAGGTGAGTCCACTTACATCACTAAAACAAGAGCTCTAGAACAGGGATGGTGAGACCACGACCCCTGTAGTAGACGCACCAAAACGCAGCATATTTAGGTTTTGTGAAGTGCTTTAATGCACCTTTTACACAAAATTAGCATTCGACTTCAACAAGAGAGAGTGCTTACACTGGTAAGTACTTCAGCTGAGAACTGGCATCAGTTTCTCCATCCATATTCCTCTAGTCTCTCTCATCCTTTCTCTTCCCCCCTTTCTCTTTCGTTCTCTTGGTATTCATACAGTCCCTTCGGAAACTATTCAGACCCCTTGACTTTTTCCACATTTTCTTAGGTTACAGCCTTATTCTAAAATTGATTAAATTGTTTTTTTTCTCATCAATCTACACACAATACCCCATAATGATAAAGCAAAAACAGGTTTTTAGACATTTTTGCTAATTTATTAAATATACAAAACTGAAATATCACATTTACTTAAGTATTCAGACCCTTTACTCAGTACTTTGTTGAAGCACGTTTGGTAGCAATTACAGCCTTGTGTCTTGGGTATGACGCTACAAGCTTGGCACACCTGTATTTGGGGAGTTTCTCCCATTCTTGTCCTTCTGGAAGGTTGTCCTTCTGGAAGGTTCTCCCATCTCCACAGAAGAACTCTGGAGCTCTGTCAGAGTGACCATCGGGTTCTTGGTCACCTCCCTGACCAATGCCGATTGCTCAGTTTGGCCAGGCGGCCAGCTCTAGGAAGAGTCTTGGTGGTTCCAAACTTATTCCATTTTATGAATGATGGAGGTCACTGTGTTCTTGGGGACCTTCAGTGCTGCAGAAATGTTTTTGGTACCCTTCCCCAGATCTGTGCCTCGACACAATCCTGTCTCAGTGCTCTACGGACAATTCCTTCGACCTCATGGCTTGGTTTTTGCTCTGACATGCACTGTCAACATTTTCATTTACATTTTCGTCATTTAGCAGATGCTCTTATCCAGAGCAACTTACAAATTGGTGCATTCACCTTATGATAGCCAGTGGGACAACCACTTTACAATGATTTTTTTAATTTTTTTGGTGGGGTAAGGGGGGTAGAAGGATTACTTTATCCTATCCCAGGTATTCCTTAAAAAGGTGGGGTTTCAAGTGTCTCCGGAAGGTAGTGAGTGACTCTGCTGTCCTGGCGTCGTGAGGGAGCTTGTTCCACTATTGGGGTGCCAGAGCAGCGAACAGTTTTGACTGGGCTGAGCGGGAACTGTGCTTCCGCAGAGGTAGGGGGGCCAGCAGGCCAGAGGTGGATGAACGCAATGCCCTCGTTTGGGTGTAGGGATCAGAGCCTGAAGGTACGGAGGTGCCGTTCCCCTCACAGCTCCGTAGGCAAGCACCATGGTCTTGTAGCAGATGCGAGCTTCAACTGGAAGCCAGTGGAGTGTGCGGAGGAGCGGGGTGACGTGAGAGAACTTGGGAAGGTTGAACACCAGACGGGCTGCGGCTTTCTGGATGAGTTGTAGGGGTTTAATGGCACAGGCAGGGAGCCCAGCCAACAGCGAGTTGCAGTAATCCAGACGGTAGATGACAATTGCCTGGATTAGGACCTGTGCCGCTTCCTGTGTAAGGCAGGGTCGTACTCTCCGAATGTTGTAGAGCATGAACCTACAGGATCGGGTCACCGCCTTGATGTTAGCGGAGAACGACAGGGTGTTGTCCAGGGTCACGCCAAGGCTCTTTGCACTCTGGGAGGAGGACACAATGGAGTTGTCAACCGTGATGGCGAAATCATGGAACGGGCAGTCCTTCCCCGGGAGGAAGAGCAGCTCCGTCTTGCCGAGGTTCAGCTTGAGGTGGTGATCCGTCATCCACACTGATATGTCTGCCAGACATGCAGAGATGCGATTCGCCACCTGGTTATCAGAAGGGGGAAAGGAGAAGATTAATTGTGTGTTGTCTGCGTAGCAATGATAGGAGAGGCCATGTGAGGATATGACAGAGCCAAGTGACTTGGTGTATAGCGAGAATAGGAGAGGGCCTAGAACTGAGCCCTGGGGGACACCAGTGGTGAGAGCACGTGGTGCGGAGACAGATTCTCGCCACGCCACCTGGTAGGAGCGACCTGTCAGGTAGGACGCAATCCAAGAGTGAGCCGCGCCGGAGATGCCCAACTCTGAGAGGGTGGAGAGGAGGATCTGATGGTTCACAGTATCAAAGGCAGCAGATAGGTCTAGAAGGACGAGAGCAGAGGAGAGAGAGTTAGCTTTAGCAGTGCGGAGAGCCTCCGTGACACAGAGGAGCAGTCTCAGTTGAATGACCAGCCTTGAAACCTGACTGGTTTGGATCAAGAAGGTCATTCTGAGAGAGATAGCAAGAGTTGGCTAAAGACGGCACGCTCAAGAGTTTTGGAGAGAAAAGAAAGAAGGGGTACTGGTCTGTAGTTGTTGACATCAGAGGGATCGAGTGTAGGTTTTTTGAGAAGGGGTGCAACTCTCGCTCTCTTGAAGACGGAAGGGACATAGCCAGCGGTCAAGGATGAGTTGATGAGCGAGGTGAGGTAAAGGAGAAGGTCTCCGGAAATGGTCTGGAGAAGAGAGGAGGGGATAGGGTCAAGCGGGCAGGTTGTTGGGCGGCCGGCCGTCGCAAGTTTTCATCTGGAGAGAGAGGGGAGAAAGAAGTCAAAGCATAGGGTAGGCCAGTGTGAGCAGGACCAGCGGTGTCATTTGACTTAACAAACGAGGATCGGATGTCGTCAACCTTCTTTTCAAAATGGTTGACGAAGTCATCCACAGAGAGGGAGGAGGTGGCAAAGAGCTTCCTACGGTTAGAGGCAGATGCTTGGAATTTAGAGTGGTAGAAAGTGGCTTTAGCAGCAGAAACAGAGGAAGAAAATGTAGAGAGGAGGGAGTGAAAAGATGCCAGGTCCGCAGGGAGTCTAGTTTTCCTCCATTTCCACTCGGCTGCCCGAGTGGAAAAGATGAGGTCAAGCGTATTGCCTGCCTTGTGAGTAGGGGGGGACGGTGAGAGGGTGAGGTCAAAAGAGGAGAGGAGTGGAAAGAAGGAGGCAGAGAGAAATGAGTCAAAGGTAGACGTAGGGAGGTTAAAGTCACCCAGAACTGTGAGGGGTGAGCCATCCTCAGGAAAGTAACTTATCAAGGCGTAAAGCTCATTGATGAACTCTCCAAGGGAACCTGGAGGGCGATAAATGATAAGGATGTTAAGCTTGAATGGGCTAGTGGCTGTGACAGCATGGAATTCAAATGAGGAGATAGACAGACAGATGGGTCAGGGGAGAAAGAGAGAATGTCCACTTGGGAGAGATGAGGATTCCTGTGCCACCACCCCGCTGACCAGATGCTCTCGGGGTATGCGAGAACACATGGTCAGACGAGGAGAGAGCAGTAGGAGTAGCAGTGTTTTCTGTGGTAATCCATGTTTCCGTCAGCGCCAAGAAGTCGAGGGACTGGAGGGTAGCATAGGCTGAGGTAAACTCTGCCTTGTTGGCCGCAGAACGGCAGTTCCAGAGGCTGCCGGAGACCTGGAACTCCACGTGGGTTTTGCGTGCAGGGACCACCAGGTTAGAGTGGCAGCAGCCACGCGGTGTGAGGCGTTTGTATAGCCTGCGCGGAGAGGAGAGAACAGGGATAGACAGACACATAGTTGACAGGCTACAGAAAATGGCTACAATAATGCAAAGGAGATCGGAATGAAATGAACTAAACATCTGGGAAAGCGAGAGAGCGGGGCCTCCCTCACTTACGTTTCACTGAAACACCCAAATATAACTCTCCCAACTTCCACCTCAGAAACTATAATTGTTGTAAACTACAGCGGTTCAATGTTTTCTAGGAATAGACTAACTTAGTTTATTCAGCTAGCTAACTTGGTACAGTATTCTTCCGTGAAAACCGTCCAGGGCACCGAATCCTATGACGCCACAGCCAACTAGCATGCCAGCCTCCAACAACACGATTTAGCACCAATAACTCTGCCACAACAAACCACCAGTGTGTCAACACGCCAAGCATATAATTCGTGTCCGTGTCTAACGTTGTGTAAAGTTCTGGGTTAGTCCCGACAGCTTGAGCGAGTCCGTCGTCAACTTATTCAGACAGTTAGTTAGCTAGAATAGTTAGCAAACTAGCTAGCATTGCTCTCTGCCAACGAAAAAAAACCTTCTCCCACGGCACGAACACACAGAGAGAGCCAAGCTAACGTTAACTAGTCACCCATGTCCCGAATTCCCTTGAACGACTCTGGTTACCAGTATGTAAAAACAAAACACAAATGTAGGTTATAACTTACCCCTAGCAGCTACTGTTAGCCAGCCAAGTGCAAAGCTAGCCACTGAATCGACTCAGCCAGTTCGCGTCTGTTCGCTAGGTTGTTCCAGCTATTATTTAGTTAGCTATCCAGGTAGCAACAAGCTAGCTACATTTCGAGCAAAGTAGCTAATAACTACCTAACGCCAACGCTTCAGACAATGAGGTTAGAAAAACAGCTGAATGGTAGGCAGCTAGCTGGTATAATTACAGGTACTCTCAAGCGTGAAACAACTATCCACAGTTGCTAATAGTTACCAGTAGCTACCCGCTAGCTAGTCCAGGTAGTGGGTTAGCTAGCCTCGTGCTTCACCGGGCTCATCCGAATACAATACTTACCTACAATAATTACCTACAATAACCTACGATAACTACCTAGATAAACTACCTACAATACCTAACTACAATCTAAATACATGGTTTAAGCTTTACTCGACACCATATAAGCCAAGCTTACCTCCCGCCAGAGAGAGAGACAACCTCACCCGACGACTTGATATACAATACTGTGGGACCTTATATAGACAGGTGTGTGCCTTTCCAAATCATGTCCAATCAATTGAATTTACCACAGGTGGACTCCAATCAAGTTGTAGAAACATCTCAAGGATGATCAATGGAAACAGGATGCACCTGAGCTCAATTTCGAGTCTCATAGCAAAGGGTCTGAATACTTATGTAAATAAGGTATTCATTTTTTTATTTTTAATA